TGAGTATGTGTATGAGTGTGTGAGTGTGTGTGTGAGTGTGCATGTGTGTATGAGTGTGAGTGTATGAGTGTGTGTGAGTGTGAGTGTATGAGTGTGTGTGTGTATGAGTGTGTGTATGTGTGTGAGTGTATGTATGAATGTGTGTTTATGAGTGTGTATGAGTATGTGTGTGTATGAGTGTGTGTATGAGTGTGTATGTATGAGTGTGTGTATGTGTATGTGTGAGTATGTGTATGAGTGTGTGAATATGTGTGTATGAGTGTGCGTATGAGTGTGTGTGCATGAGTGAATGTGTGTGTGTGTACATGTGCACACTCACATAGCACCTTTGACAATAGGGTCATTTGGTGGATGCCAACTAATGGGAGAACACGCTGGGCAGACACAGACTGGGCCATGAGCTCCCATGCCCTGCTAGTCTTGGTGCTCATGGGGATGGGCCATTATGGAAAAAGGGTGTCATGATATTGATGAGGATGATGTCCTGTGTGCAGGGCAGGGACCCAGCCTATGGTATCCTCTTTGGTCAAAGTTAATCTGGGGTCCGTTTTCTCAGGGTGCTCATGAGCCACCTGTGAAGGCTCTTCTTGTAGAAGATGCTGGGGTGCTCTGAGCTGCCAGCCTCCCCAGGGACTCTGAAAGGCCAACACTCATGTGAACCCCAAAGCTGGTGTCTTTGTTCAAATGTCAGACCCTACGTTGCACTGGCCCCCAGATAGGACCGCTGGGGAAATGCCAACTTTTGGCAGCATCTCAGTGACACGGTATCCCTTGGTTTGGCCTCATTCCTCACGTGGGTGGGTTTTGACATGACAAATGAAGTCTAGGTCAGCAGTGTGCTGGCAGGGTGCGGGGCGGGGGTGGTAGGGCGGGCGAGGCCTGTGTAAGAAGGGCACCTGTCAGGGAGAGCTCTGACGCATGCTGCTTCCCCCTGCGATTCGACTTCCAGTGGCAGAGGCAGAGGCTGAGGCTGAGGCTGTGCTCTGGGCCTAGCTCCCAGCAGCATCTCTAGTCAGCCCGGCATGAGCAACTTGGCCCTAGATGATGGCCCCAAGGCCATTTCCTCGCTGGAAACTGTGCCTTCCTTATTTTCTCTCATTTTGAACAGTTCAAGCCCCAGGCTCACAAAAGATGCTCCATCCCATTTCCTTTTTTTTGATAATTCATAACAGTTTCATTGACATGTAGGCATCATCACCAGAGACTATTACAGTGTGAAGAGCTAACAACAATAAAGAACACGCAGAGAATTTAATCCTGTACTTCCTTCTTAATTTGCATTTTTGAATAGACAATACATTTAAAGTTCTAAAACAAAACAAAACAAACATGCTATGAGAAATTCTCCCCCCCCTTTGTTTACCTCCACTTAGTTTCTCCCTCCCTGAGTGGGTAACCACTCTGAATGTTTCTCATGTTCTTCCAGAGTTCCTTTGTGTGTGCACACGTGTGCATTTTATATGTATTTTAATATATATATGCATTATGTGGAATATATTGTATATGTATATTATATTAGTATATATTATATAATTACATAATTATAATATATCTTATTAATAGATATATAACATATATTAATATACTAGAGGCCTGGTGCATGAAAATTCATGCACTGGAGGGGGGGTCCCTCAGCCCGGCCTTCCCCGTCCACAATCCGGGAGCCCTCAGGGGCAGGAAGCGACCGGTGATCAGGGGAAGGCGACGCCCCATCACACCTCTGCTGCTGCCACTGCCGGCAGCGCAAGCCTCAGCCAGCCCTGGTTACCTGAGCCTCGGGCCGGCCCTGGGCGGCTGGGGGGCTGAGGGGACTGGGGGACACTGGAAGAAGGTGCGCAGAGCGCGGGCCTGGCCTTGCACACGCCTGCCACCCCGGTGGGGCTGAGGGGACTGGGCGCTGCCATCTTGTGGCTGTGGGTGCTGCCATCTTTGATGGCGGGGCAGTCAATTAGCATATTGCCTCCTTATTGGCTGTGGGTGCGCCATCTTTGAGGGCGGGACAGTCAATTAGCATATTTTCTCATTGGCTGTGGGCACCACCATCTTTGCGATGGTGTGAGGGTCAATTAGCATATTCCCTCTTTATTAGATAGGCTGTATATTATATATAAATTTATGATGCATTATATAAAATCCTGTTTTCTCCAATTTTACACAATAGGTTGTAATTCTACGTGCTGTGCTTTTCTCACTTATTTATTTTTCATATAATAATGTATCTTGACGTTCTTTCCATATCTATTCACAAAGGACATCCTCTTTCCTCTTTGCAGCCACACAGTATTCAAGGGTGTGGCCACACCATGACTTACTTAACGAGCCCCTCCAACATAAACCTTTGGGTTGTTTCCAATCTTTTGCTACTAGAACCTGAACCTATGTCACTTCCCACATGTGTAAGTCCAACTATAAGATAAACTCCCAGAGGTGCAGTTGCTCTATCAAAGGGAATGTGCACTTGTGTCTTGAGAGATTTTTGTCAAATTGTCTATCGTAGGTTTGTGACTAGTAAGTTTCCACCAGAATGTATGAGAGTATCTGTTTCCCTAAGAGCCTTCCTAGCAGTGTTTTGTTGACTGCTCACATGATGTAGCGGCAAATGACCTGGGAAGGGGCGTGAACTCTGGGACAAAACTGTACCCCCCTGGAGGAATGTCAGTGCAAGAGAGACAGTGGCACCTGCCGATTAAGCCTCTGGTCAACCTGACATCCAGCTCCCAGGCAAATCACTCGATCTCTCTAGACCTCAATTTTCTCATCTGAAAAATGGGAAAATAATATGTATTCATTGGGGTCATAGTGAGGATTAGATGAGATGATGCATGTACAAAGGGCTTTGCACAGCGCCTGGCACGTGGCTATGGACGGCCGGCTGGCTGTGCACTAACCAGCAGGTTGACTTTGCTTCTGAGCTCATGGGTCTCTCAGGGCCTCTTCCCAGTCTCAGGGTCTGCCATGTCTTTCTTCAGCAGCTTGTGTAAGCCGCACTCATCCTTCCTCTCTCATGCCCATCAAAGGTATTCAGGAGTCTCCGGTGCCGAACGGTCACTCGCTGCCGGGCAGAGATTTCCTCCGGAAGCAGATGCGGGGAGACCTGTTCACGCAGCAGCAGCTGGAGGTGCTGGACCGCGTGTTTGAGAGGCAGCACTACTCGGACATCTTCACCACCACGGAGCCCATCAAGCCTGAGCAGGTAAGCTCCGCGACTCACCGCCTGCCACACCTCTCCCCACACGCAGGCCTGGGTGTCCTCCCCAGGCGCCTGGCTGCGTGTAGGGGGGAACGCCAAGCTCTACTCAGAGGCGGCTTCTCCTTGTTCTCGGCCAAACTCGGCTGGTCACAGCATCCCACGAGGTCAGGAGGACATGTTCGAGGCTCTGGCAACTTCTTGCCCTGGTGCCTCTGTCTTTCCTGCCGGCCAGGAGGGGACGTGACTTGTCTGGCTGCTCTGCCATTGCTGAATGGAGGCCTTTCCCAGGGGGTGTAACGACCTTTAGGGCCGCTTGAGGTGGTCTCGGGTCATTATCCTGTCAGGGTGAAGGGGAAACCTGTAAGCACCCTCCGGCCTTGTTATGGTGGTCCTGGTGGGTACCCACCGTCAGCCCTCTCGTCAGGTTGCCCTGTCATGCTTTTAGAGGCTGGATCCAAGAGTCTGGAAGTGAGAAGTGTCTCACTGGACCGACACCCAGCTGAGTCATTTGCAAGAGAGGGAGGAAGCAGGAGGAGGCCCCTTGCTGAGCAGCCCCCCCGCTCTGCCCTGGAGAGAAGCAGTCTCTGCTTATGGTCACAGAGATGGACCAGAAAGGGTCTGCCCAGAGAGAGGCTCTTGGGCCTGGATAAGGGCCAGATTCAATTCAGGAGACTCGTTCCTGATGCCCAGGCTGTGCTAGGCCCTGGGCTGGTTTCCTTGCTGGCACACGCCGTTCAGACATGAGCGCGTCGGAGAGACCTCTGAGCAATGACTTTCTCAGAACTTTTCCAGCTGGTCCTGGTGGTGAGGACTGGCCGCGCTGAGCTCCCTCTGCCTGCTGATGAGATGATGCTTCTGAAGTTTTCTGAAAGAGCCATTCAAAGTCACATAGGCTGTGTGCACAAGCTCCGTGGAGAGGGGAGGGGCCAGAGGAGACCTTGGTGATGAGGAGGGTGCAAGGCCTCAGGGCCACCATCCTATGGCAGTCTGGCCACCTCTCAGCATTTCCTACGAGGGCTCAGGGCTCTCACAGATCATCTATCCACTTTGTTTTCAGATGGGGAAACCAAAGCCCAGAGAGGCAAAGAGACTTGCCTGAGACCACACAGCAAGTTGTGCATTCACTTCACAAACATTGATGAGTGTCTACTATGTGCATGGCACAGAACCGAATACTAGCGGTACATTCATGAACGAGGCAGGCCTGGACCTGCCCTCGGGGAGTCTACCGATGTGTGGAAGAATCACAATAAGAATAACCCAAAGAGTTGTGGATTGCAGGTGTGCTAGGTGCCGAGGAGGGGATGTCTGAGGTTTTTCAAAAGCATAAAGCAGAGACTGGGCCGGCCTGAAGGGGAAATGCATTTGTGCTGAGCCCTGAAGGGGTTGGGCTGAGTCAGGAGAAGGGACCTGGGTGTGGGAGATTGTGTCTGGCAGAAGGAAGAGCAAGTGCAAAGGCCCTGGGGTAAGAGAGAGAGGGGAAGGAGTAAAGAACAGAAAGAAACCCAGAGGCTGTGCTTTAGGGGCCGGGCTGCCCAGAGGGGTGGGAGGTGATGTTGGAGAGATGGGTCTGGCCAAGTAGGCTGTGGTCAGGGTTTTGGTCTTTCTCCTACAAGCGGAGTAAAGTCTCCCCCTTCCCCTCTGGGAATGACCGTTGTATGGGTCGGGCAGACCTGAGCCTCACACTCTAGCTGCTGGGTTGTAGGGAGAAGAGTCTGTTTCCATCACAAACAGCCTCTCCCACTGCCCAGGGCCCTTCTGAAATATGGCCAAAGCCACATCTCATCTGACACAGGAGGAGAAAGAAGAGGAATTCAGTCAGGAAAATTTCTTTAGATGACGCCTACCTTTCCCTCCAGAATCTGGGAGAAAATTTATTTTCCAACCATTGATAAGAGCACAGAGTTTTAGTGCTTGCAAGCTTTCATCCTCCACCTTAAGAGGTCCAGAGACGGCACAGGGTTTGTATGAGGTCATCCAGTCGGTGGGTGGTGCGGGCCATAGTTTGCCCACAGCTGCTCTAGAGTGTCGGCACCAGCCTTCTAGTAGCCCTTATTTTCTCAGTTCTTAAACTGGACCGGAGGGCCGGAACAAAAGCATGGATGGAGTGTTTGTGTGAACTAATATAAATTCAATCGTAGTTTTTGGTTTAGGATGCCCAGAAAGACTGGGCAGAGACTACAGGGCTTCATAACTGGGAGGAGTCCACCCGTGTATCCATTCATTCACTCCCTTGCTCAGACACTCATGTGCTCATTTAGCCAACACAGTTCTTGCATGCTGGGCTGTGAGCCTGGCACAGTGTCAGGCTCCCAGTGGAGGGAGGATGAATCAGGCACCAGCTCCCAGGGGTAATAGGATGGATTCAGACTTTGCAAGGCAAGGGAGAAGGTTCTGTAGCCCTGATGAATGGAGACGGTGCGTCAGCGAGGAGCACCAAGGGGGATAATTCGGAGGAGGTGTTGGGGGACAGGTGGCTAGGCCCATGCAGAGATGGGGCCTGTTGGAAAGGAGACCTGAATTACAAACATCGTGAGGGCTGTTTCTAGCAGTCTCGCTGTGCGGTGTCCTTCAGAATGAGCGGACACGGCTGCAGGCCTGTCTCTGACTGTGTGGGCTGAGGCGGGGCCTGCAGGTGAACCTTGTGGTGGGATAATGACTGACTCAGGGCTTTCTGGTTAATCTGCTTCACCTCCCGGTAATGGGCAGTAATGAGGAGAGATGGCAGGTGAGGCCGCGGGGCTGCCGGGCACACACACAGGCACTGGACTATGAATGACGTACCCTCGCTCCCGATTCCCAATCACTTTGGACAAATGATAGTCCGAGCAAGGGGCTGCAGGCTGGGAAGGCAGGCACGTCAAGGGTACAGGTTCCTTGAGCCCCCTCATGCTTGCTTTCGCCTTGCCTTGTGAGCCCCTGAGCGGGGCCTGGAGCTCTGGCCGCTGAAGCTGGCCCCTTCAATTGTGAGTGGAACCGTGACTCCGAGGGCTAGTGGCCTGGGTGCGGGCCTTGCTGTCAATTTCATCCATTGAGCAGCCTGGTGGGGGAGAAAGAGCATTTGCTGGCCTTGGAGTTGGAGTTGGACTTGAATCCCGGCTCTGCCCTGGTGGGTAAGTCGTTTTTTCTCTGGAATTCAGTGTTCATATCTGCAGCAGCAGTAATTGTGATTTTGATAACAGTAACAGCAGCAGTGGCAGCAGCAATAACAATAACAACAGTGATCTCCCTCACCTATGCATGACACTGTGCAGTTTTCAAAGACCTTTCACATCCCTTCTCTCCCTGGACTCTCCATGTAAGTGCCTGCTAAGCAGGCTGGGCAAGATTGGTGAGCCCCATTTTACAGATCGGAACATTCTTTTCAGAGTGTTCCTCCCAGGTTCAGGCCCAGGAGGCTTCTGGGACTTGTCGAGGCCACAGAGCTAGAATTTGACCTCAGGATCTTTAGTTTTCATCTTATATAAGACCTCTTGCCTTCTGTCTTCATGTTCCCCAAAGACTTTAGAAGCCAGTTTTCTGATTGGTTGGTTTTCAGCATCGGCCTTTTGCATTCAGAGTTCACCTGTTATTCCAGAACCTTCAGAGACTTGCCATAGGCTTGGGTGGTCAAATCCTCCTAATCACCCACCCGAACGCCCATGGGAAGAACCTTCTTCAGGGCCAGGTTGGGGGCCTGCCAGTCACTTCCATGAGCTCAGAGCCCACCCTCACCTTGCTGCTTTCCCCCCAAGATCAACCCCGGTGGATGGGCCCAGGCCTCTCACTTTCACAGGGAAACTTAGTAAACCCTTGACCCTGGCTGGAAGGGGTTAATGCGCACACACTCCTGGGGCAATGAAACACTTCCTTTTCAAAATGGTTATTGAAAAAGCAATTCTGTTCTCCCTACATGTGGAGTGAGTAAAAATCACCTTGGAGGAGAAGAGGGAAAAAAAAGTAACAACTGCTGGTGGTGTCATGCGTGTGTGCGTGCATTTCTGTTTCGCACAGTGAAATCTGTTTCAGTAAAACTCGAGTTGACGCTGCCCTGGGCGCTGTGCTCCTGGCGGGAGCTGGTCCCTCCTCCGGCCTCGCAGGAAGGCTGCCACCGAGCACAGCCTGCCGTATTTACTCTCGGCAGACTATTAACCAACACCAGGCTATTAATCTGGCTTTGAGCCTTCACTAAAGCCCATAAAAGCTCACAGTTGTCAAATGGAGTTCATTTTAATTTCCTTTCAATCACAGTAAATTATTCAGGTGATAAATCAGCTGGAGCAGCCTCCTGGCTGTAATAGAAACCCTAATTCCTGGCTAATTATCCAGCCCATTGCTGCCAACAGATCAATACGGGCACAAAATGGAACGGGCCCAGGGCCCTCCCTCCCATTGGGCCAGAGACAGAAAGACAGCTGGGGAAGGGGGACGTGCTGCTGACCTCCCGGGAAGTTCAAAGGTCACGGGGGGTTAAATTGGGAGATGGCCTGTCCCTTGTCTAGCAGAGAAAGCCACCAGAAATGCCTCCTGCTCTCATATGCTGCTTTGCCCTCTGCACAGTGGGACTTCCCTGGGCTGGTCGGCCTGGGCGAGCATTGCCTACTCCTGTGGGCTTCCTACTCCCAGGAAGGGGCTGGTTTGAGTTTTTGAACATGATGAGTTTGGTCCTTGGGGATGGCCTTGAGCACCTGCCTACCTGATTCAGAAAAAGGGCTGGGACTGTGGGGGAAAGATGAGGTGTCGGACATGGTTTCTTTCTTTAGGGAGCTCATGTCCCTGTGTAGGGGGTCTGTGCCCACCAGGAGAGGAGGGGTGGGATGTGAGGAGACAGACATGCAGGCTGAGAGCAGGAAGGCTCCCTGGAGAAGGTGTCATTAGTGCTGTGCCTTGAGAGGGGGGCAGAATCCAGATCTGTGGAGATTGTAGCGTTGGCTGGGGAGGGCATTCTAGGCGGAAGGAACAGTGTGGGCCAAGTCTTGAAGAAATGCAGGTGTGGCAGGGAACTGCAAGCTGGCCTAGGAGGT